CCCCCCCCCCGCCACTGCCTCCCCTCTGCGGATTCTGACCCTACCCACCATGCAGCAGAGTCCCCTCGGGGCAGAAGCAGCCCTCCACACAGCCTGGTAGTGCCACCCGGGCTCAGGACCACGGTCATGGCAGTCGGGGGACACGTGGGGCCACAGGCCTCGTACACCTGGCCCCCTTCACACTGCAGAGCTGGGGAGAGAGGAGAGAGCTTGGGTCACCATGGTGCAAGGGCACCAGGATGCAACAGCAGCAGGCGAGGCAGCCCAAGATGAGACACACGGAGGGCACGGGGAGCACGCTGTAGACTTGCTGAGCCCCTCCCAAGGCTGTTTGCAACATGGAAGTTCTACGGGAAAGCAAGCTCGGCATGCTTGGTTCATCTAGGAAAGCGTGCCCACCACACATATTTGCCCTTGAATGATACATGGCTTGCTTGCAGGCCAGGAGGAACATCCACGGAGGAGCTGAGGGCACGGTGGGATTGGGCACTGGGGACCAAGGGCAGGGCACCCTCACGGCAGAGCTCCTGGCTGTGCCAGCGCACGGGGAGCACACGCCGGGCACACTCGTCTGCGTAGGTGGCAATGGCCGAGCAGAGACACTCACAGTCGCCCCCTGAATCGCAGCTGTGGAAGGGACTGTTCAGCCCCCGGACGCCGTCCCCACCCCCTGGCCCCCATTCCCACCCGGTCCCCCGGCTCGCCCCTCTCACCCGCACGCGTCAGACACACACCGCTCGTAGTGCTGCTGCGGGGGCACCTCTGCGTGGCACCGGGCAAAGAGCGACTGCAGCATCACCCCGCAGCGGCCGCGGGCCCAGCTGGCCCGGTGGGCGTTCACCTACGGGCACAGCACCGTGGACCAGCCAGACCCCACCCGCAGCAGCCGGCCTCCGGATCCTCCCCCCCGCCCCCCGCAGGTTTCCTGCAGCCGCCCCCCACGCCCTTCCCCCTGCCTGCCGGTGCTCACGGTGCAGGGGTGTGGCAGGTCTCCTGGCTCGGGGCAGAGCGGACTCAGGTGCCAGGAGTGGGCAGCCAGCTCCGCTGGGGGCTCCAGGACGCCCTGGCGGCTCCGCAGGTCATCACTGGCATCTCCATCAAAATCTCCACACAGCCCAGACACACGGCCACGGAACTGTGGGGACAGCTGCACCAGGACCCGGGTGCCTGGGCAGGGAGGGCAGCAGGGGGCAGCATTGTGGAGAAATGACCCCATGGGCCTTCCTCAGGGCCAGGGGCGGGAGAAGACCAAGGGCAGGTATTCTGTGGGCCTGTTTGACCACCACCTGGTACCACCACCTGGTTTTTTGCGGAGGCTGATTGGCGATGATAAGAGACATACACCTCGGGGGGCTAGGACAAAAGTGGGAGCCTACTCTCCCAGCCAAACTCAGGTTAGGGGGAGCAGGGAAATTCTCCAGCGGGCTGGATTCCGGGCAGGAACCAGGCTCCAAGACAGACTGTGACACCCACCAGCCCCAGAGGCCTTGGTGGCCGGAGGCTCAGAGGGCAGCCCCACCGTGCTGACCAGACAACTCCTTCCCATGCCAGGGGTTACTCTGGTTTTCCTCAATTTCTCAGTAACTGTTATTTCTAAAATGCCAACTGCTTGGGTTTGGGTGGTGGGAGGTTAGGTTTATTTTCATTTCTTCTTTCCCAAACTGAGTATTTTCTAAATGTTTCTTTGGTGAGGAGGTATTGCCTTTACATTGAAGAGAAACATAACATTAAAAACATAATTTGGGAACTCCCACCACTCGTATGGAAGAGGAAGAGTCTGGGAGGGGGAGGGGGGTCAGCCTCACGATGCTAAGGCGGGCATGGGTCAGGGGTGGGGGCCTGACCTCCGTCCCAGAGCAGGCTGAGGCCCAGGCGGGTCGTGAGCAGCAGGAAGAGACCAGCACGGCGCAGGCTCAGCCCAGGGCCTGCACAGACCTTGGGGCCCGTTATGCTCACACCATTCACCATCACTGCCCGGCCTATGGAGGAAGAGAGGCGTTCGGACTCTGCCTTGGAGTCGAAGGGCTCCCAGATCCCCAGGAACCCCTCCCCAGCCTGCCTCCAACCTTCCTTTTGCTTCTCCAGCTGTGTGACCTTGGGCAAGTCATTAGGCCTCGCCAGGCTTTAATTTCTTGGAGGCTTCCAGAATCAGGATTCCCAACCAAGAGGAGAGAGGAGAGGCACCAGCCCCACTGCACAGATGGTGAGCAGTGGGGGACCCCAGGCCTTGGCCCCCCGTGCAGCAGTGTGATGCCGGCCGGCGTGCCCCTCCCCCCGGCAGTGCCACCCTGCCACGCGGCGGCCACCTCTGAGCACGTGCACAACAGTGCTCTGCAGTCGCACGGTCAGCGCCTTGGCGCAGGTGAACCCACTGGCCCCACAGGGCAGGTTCTGGGCAGAGACGCTGAACCGGCCGCTGGCCTCTTGAACCAGCAGATATTCGCAGGCTCCAGGGAAGGTGAAAGCCAGCCCATCAAAGGTCACGTAGCGGGGGGCACCCGATGCCTGGCACCATCCGCCGCACCGGTGGCCCGTGCGGTGCCATTGCTGAGCCTGACATACACTGTGGGTGGGGGTGGGGCGGGGAGAGGGAGGCATGAGGACAGAGACCCAGAGCTGTATCCAGGGGATGTAGCTGTCCAGGTTCCAAGCAGCAGACCCTCAGCGTGGGGCAGTCCTGGAGAGCTCCCCTTGCCCAGGCCAGTCTGGATATCCCACCTCATCCCAGTTCAAGGCGCTAGGCATACCAAATGTTGCAGTCCTCCTGGATGGTAGCGTTGGGCGGCTACCACTGCCCTCCGTGACGGCAGGGACAGAGCTCAGGAGGCACGCAGCGCTCGTTCTGGGCAGAGGCCGGGACAAAGGGGCACCTTGGAGGGCTGCGTGACCCGCCACCCACCGTTTCAGACACCCAGGGGGGCTAGGGCAGTGCCCTGGGTGGAGCAGGGGCCACGGTGCCTCGTGCAGCCCCCTCCCAGACTTACCAGCAGCACGGTGCCTGGGGGACAGACACAGCTCCCTGGGCTGTCCGGGGGGCAGGAGTGGTTGGCACCAGGGCTGTCACACGTGAGGAGGCAGGCACCAGGGACATAGACAAGGCCACGGGGGCAGAATGTCTGCTGGGGGCCACAGCGGTGAGCAGAGCAATTCCAGAGGCCCCTCTCCTGACAGACACTGCCGAGGATGGGAGGCAGGTAAGAGGCAGGCCCAAGGCAGGACTCACCTCCAGGCGCCTCTGGTCTGACCTGGGAGAGTCTCAGGAAGCCACGGGGTCCAAGCCCCTAACGTTGACTCTGGAGACCTGAGCATCTCACGCCCCACACCTCAGTTACAAGCACAGGAAGTGGGGCTGCTCCCCGCACCAGCCATATGCGGGATGGACATGGTCACCCTTTCCTGCCCCAGCTCCAATGGGGCCATTCTCTAGGCTCTGAGGTTCTCAAAGAACCCCATTCGCAGCCAGGTAGGAGAGGCATTCTCTGAAGTCTCATCCTCACCCACCAAGCCCTGGCCATTGGCCTTGACTCCACAGGTCCAGAACTGGCCTTTACTTCTCCCTAACCCTTGGAAGAGCCTCTGGACCACAGTCAACCAGAACTCAGAGATCTGGGTTCTAGTCCTTCATCATTAACCAGCTGTGTGACTCTGCAAGCCGTGTGGCCTGTTAGAGCCTCAGTTTCCTCATCTGCAAAACGGGAACAATTCTTCCGCTTCCTACTTTACCAGGTCATTGTAAGAGGGCGGTAGAATTACATAAGATGATGTACAAGAGTGCTTTATAGGCCTGAAGTGCTCCACAACGAGGCGAAGCTGTGAGTGCTCTGTCGCCCTGCCCTAACCCACAGGGCTACAAGCCCGGCCCCTTTTCTCTAAGCTCCACCTCTTCACCCCCAAGCTCTGTGCCTCCCCCCAAGGCCACCGCCCTCACCAGCAGTTGCAGTCCTTCATGGTGGCACTGCCAGGGGCATAGCGATGAGTTCCAAGCCGGCAGGAGCACAAGCTGGGGGGCACGCACTCGCCCTCGGGGTCCCACAGCAGTCCTGGGGGGCAGTTACAACCAGCCACACAGCTGCCCAGCTCCCCACAGTCTTCTGGCTCCCCACAGTGTCGACCACACGCTGGGACACACTCCTGGTACTCCTGGCCCCCAGGACACGGGACAGCTGGGCACAGAGACACATGCAGGTCAGGGGCATAACTGCTGCTGCTCGGCCCGCCCTTCTGGAATTCCGAAACAAGGCAAGCCCAGCAAACTGCCAAGGTCCGAGGGCCTCCTGAGCACCTTCCCCTGCTGCACAGCTGTCGGAGCCCTCGGGGCTCTTGCCAGAAGGGGCTGGGAGGAGGAGCCTGGGGGTGGGGCTGGCTGGCTGAGCCGACTCGCGGCAGAGCGTGTGGGTCCTCCAGGGAGACCGGGCACCCTCCTGGGCACGGCGACGAGCAAAGGCATCGAGCACAGGGCGCAGGCAGTCCTTGCCAGGAGCACAGCCGCACACAGCTGCCAAGCAGCGCAGGTGGAACGGCTCCCTGCCCACCAGCGCTTGGCATTCCTGAGGGGGGAGAGGAGGAAAAAACTGGGTTGGCTCCCCCTCCACAGATTGCCCTGTTCCCTCCGGTCCCCACTGCCACCTCCTGGGCCACGGCAGGGAGCAGGGCCCTCCCAGTAGCCCAGGGCGAGGGCAAAGCAGGTGTTGACCCCATCTTACAGGTGCGAACAGGAGCACCCCCAATCTGGCTACCTGGAAGGTGGGGCCGTGCAGGACAGCACAAGCTGCCTCCGCAAAAACGTGGCGCTGAGTGTGGGTGCCGCAGGGGGAAGGTGGGGCGCTGTCGTCTGCGGGGCAGCTTCCCTCGCCTGCCACCTGGAACTTGCTAGCAAAGGCTGCAATGCTGGTCTCCACATCGCCAGCCGGTGTCAGGAAGTCATCCTGCTGCTTCCAGGTGAAGGTGCCACACAGACCCTGCACCTGGGCCACAGGAGTGGGTATGGGACAGTCAAATCCGGGCCCACCGTGGCCTTGCCCAGCCACTGGCCTGCCCCCCAGCACACCTGGTGGGCATGGCGGGGGTCCAGAGTGATGTAGGTTGCGGGGTCAGACACTCCCCAGAGGACCTGGGCCCCAGGCCAGCGCAGCAGTAGGAAGGTGGAGGAGGCTCGGGAGACACTGAGGCCCTTAGGCCCACGCCACGGCAAGCCCACGTCCTGCCCATCGATGAGTACAGCCCCTGGAATAGAGGGCCTGTGAGGGGCTACCCCTGCGGGACTGGGCTGATGAGGATTGGGGGGGAGCACATCGCAGGAGAGGGCTACCTGAGTCTCTGAGCTGGATGTGGTGTCCCCAGAGAGACAGATGGCGTGGAGGCAGTTCCCGGTGTCACAGGCCCCATGCTCCAGCACAATCAGCAACTGCCCCTTCAAGTCCTGGGGCAGATGGTGAGGAATGTGGTAGGGTGGAGGTGGGGAAGACCCCGAGAACAGGGTCTGTTCTGCACCCTCTCCTGTTCTACAGGACGCCTACAGCACCCACCTGGAGGCAGCTCCCACCCAACGCACGTGCTGAGCACCTTCTTGCCAGCCACACTCTCGGTGAGGTATAGGGCTTAACCCTGGCAAGCGCTAGCACTTGTGAGTATCTCTATGTGTGTGTGCACACAGGCATGCGTGTGTAAGTATGTAGAGGTGTGTGTGCACGCGCGTGTGCGCGTGTTGGTGCAAGATGCCTCCCCTCCCTTTTCCCCGCAGGTATGCATGCTCATCTCTCTGTTTCTGGGTACGCACGTGCTAAATCTGCGGCATATGTCCACACCTGCTTGTGTCTATGGACCTGAACTTGGTAAGTCACCTAACTTGATTGGGGGAGGGCTGGGGAGGAAGGAGAACCCAGATTTCTCCTGGGGTTGTTTTGCAGGAAATAGCCTGTGATAAGCCCAGCCAGTCCGAACTGTGAGAAAGGACTGGTGAGGATGGGTTTTGCTTTGTGCCCCTGGGCTAGGGTGGGAACATCACGGGAACCTAAGGCGGAGGCCAGGACCCCAAGGGCAGGTTTTAGGGGTCTGCGGCAAGCCATCCTCCCTCCAGAGTCGGTTCTCTCTCAGCTTTTCCCGGAATGACTGTGTGTTTCTCATTGATTTATTTAGAGGTTTCCCGACAGTCCCCTCTCGCCTGCAGAGCGCCACTGAGGGCTCCTCCCGGCGTTAACCCCCTACCCACCTGCACCAGGCTGGAGCGGCAACCCGGACGGCCGCGGAAGGAGAAGCTCCGCCCATCGAAGGTGAGGTAATGCCCGTCCCCGCCCACCGCGCACTCGGCTGGGCACGGCGCCTGCGCGCAGAGCCAGCGGCCGTCCTGGCACACGCTGTGGGCACACGGGGCGGGGGGCGCGCTCTGATTCGGAGCCCACGAGCTCCTGCCCCCGGCCAACCCCGGGGCCCTCCTTCCGCCAGCAACCCCTGTAACCCTGCAAGGCCTGGAGGTCAGCCGGTGGAGGTCACTGGCTAGGTCTCTAGGCAGGGCCATCAATTATGCCAGGAGAGGTCACAGGTCCCTTGTGAGGGGCCCCCGGAAGGGGAGGCAGGTTGAGGAGAGAGCAGAAGGGAGGGCTCCGAGGGGACCACGCGGCCGAAGGGCCAGCGAGGCCCGCGGACCCACCAGGGGTTGCCCAGCTGGCGCACGGTGTCCCCGGGGGGTGGGTGAGGGGGCGGGTAGGGCCGGCGCCGGTGGGAGCAGGGGCAGCCGTAGAAGAAGCCGTAGGGTAGAAGAGGCCCGGCGGGCGCTCGCAGCCGCTCACGCACGCTTCCCGGCAGGACCCCTCCCCTCCTTCACCCACTGCTGAGCAGCTGGCTGGGCAAGCCGAGGCGCAGTCCGAGTACAGCTGGCCCCCAGGGCACGGGCGCTCTGTGGGCACGGGAGTGGGCTGTGAGGTCCAAGGGTCCCCCTCCTCCCGCCAGACCCCGCTTGCCGCAGCCCAAAGACAGGGCGCGTGCGAGGAGGCCCGGCGCTCAGGAAACCAGGGTCACAGGGCTGCTGTCAGAAAGGGTGGGGACAGCAGGGGCTATGCAAAGAGGGACAGGCACCAGCCCTACCGCAGAAGCCTGGCTTCCTCCAGCCCACATGGATATGCTGCTTGGCACACTCCTGGGCATAGTTGGCCAAGGTGGTGCACACGGCTTCCCGACGGGCCTCTCGCCCACTGCCTGCTGGGGCCCCAGAACTGTAGGCAAAGAGGCAGGCCTGGTGGTACTCAGCAGGGGGAACCTTCAGAGAAAGGACAGCCCCTCAGTCAACCAGCCTCACCAGCACTCTCTCCTCTTGCTTCCATCATGCTCCGACTTAGAATCAAACAGAATGAGCACTAGAAGGGACCTCTGAGATCATTCATGCAAAGCAACGACAGGACCAGATTCCCTGTTTGGCACCTCTCTAGCACCCACTCCTTCCCGCCCCTCTGGTGGTGGATACCACCTGCACGCCCACCCATACTTGGGCATGGCATTCCCTGAACGGACTGTCCAGCAGCTGGTGGCACACATCCTGGGCTTCAGCCTCCGTGCCTGCCTCTGTGCCGCTCAGGGGGTCCTCACAGCCCTGGGCTGCCTCCGCTGAATCCAGACACCCAGGCTGGAGACAATTGAATTCAGGTCAATGGGGGAGGAGGGACATTAACCAGGACACCAGGAAAGTGGCCACTACCCTCATGGCTGCTTTAAGTCCCCACTGTCATGGCCACCAGCCCAGACAACCTGGGGTTTTGGGGGGCAACACAGCTGTAAGCTCTGGTAGGGGGTGGGGGAGCTGGGATCACATCAACCCACAGGCAGGAGGTTTCATAACTAGCTAGTTAACCAAAACTGGTCAGTGACCAGGTTGCTGAGTGTGTCCCCTGGGCGGTCAGTTCACCACTTGAAGTCCATGGGACCCTGAGCCTGCCCCCCACCAAGGGTCTGGGAGAGGGCCAGGCCCTGTTCCAGGGAAAAGGCCAGTGATGAAGACAGAGAACAGAGGCTTGGAGGTATCACAGAAGCCAGGAGCTGGGGAGCAACCAGGAGCAGGGCAGTGAGCCTGGGCTCCCTGGGGGCTGTAGTCTCACCTCGGAGTCAGGGAGCCTCCAGGAATTCCCAAAGGTCGCAGCTAACACAGCCAGTCTCCCTCCGGGCTCCAGGAAGTCATCTGGGGAAGGGTGAGGCAGAGGTGCCCTGTCTGCGCTCTCCAGTCTTTCCTTACCTCCTATACCAGCAACCGAGTCATGCCCACTTACCCTCAGGCTGGCCATTGTAGACTCCACAGAGACCTTGAGTTTGTCCCTGGAGCTCAGAGTCCACAGAAACGGAGACCGAACTGGACCTGTCCAGGCGCACGATGACCCCCAGGCCCCCTGACAGCACCAGCCAGTCCCCTTGCCACTGCAGGCTCAGCCCTGGGCAGGAGAAGGCAGGAGTCACACTTCCTACCCCTCCCACCATCACATCAAGGCGCAGACTGCTCAGGGAAGGAGAGGAGATGGAATTTTGACAATTCTAGAGAATTCTGCACTTCATACTCTTTAAAGGAGAAACAACTGGTTTTCCCATCAGAGCGCTCTTTGAGAAGTTCGTGGACACTACAGATGCTCTCTTGAGCAAGTAACTCCAAGAAATAAGTAAACTACAAAGCTCTTGTGAGCACACACACACACCACCCCACCCCCACCTCACTTCATGGACCGAAGACCAGGAAAAAAGCTCTAGTAAGTCAGGGTCCCACCTAATAGCATAAAAGCCCTTCCTCCCAGCACTGAGAGGCAGGTGGGGAAAGAGGTTTGTTGTGGGTTTTGGGTTTTTTTAAAGATTTTATTCGTCACCAAGGCAGTGCATGCATGTTGGGGTTACCTTTACCTTTTCTATAAGTTGTACCAAAACATCTACTTAACTTCTTTCATTTGTACCATTCTTCAAATAAAGTAATTTGGTACCCAAAAAAAAAAAAAAAAAAAAAAGATTTTATTAAAGGATTTATTTATCTGAGCGAGAGAGAGATTACACAAGCAGGGGGCAGGGCAGAGGGAGAGGGGGAGGGAGAGAATCCCAAGCAGACTCCCTGCTAAGCTTAAAGCCTGGCACCGGGCTCCATCTCATGAACCCGAGATCATGACCTGAGCCGAAATCAAGAGTCAGAGGCTTAACCAACTGAGCCACCCAGGCGCCCCTTAAAGATTTTATTTTTAAGTAATCTCCTCACCCAACGTGGGGCTCAAACTCACAACCCTGAGATCAAGAGTCCCTTGCTTTACCGACTGAGCCGGCCAGGCGTCCTGATACTCAGAGGGGTTAGTAAGGGACTTGCCCCAAGCCACACTGTGAGGGGATGAGCGGGGCTGGCTTGCAGGAGTCAACCTGGAGACTAGGTCCATGACCTCCTGGCTCCTCAGCAGGCTCCTCATTTCCAAATACCCCCCAATCGCAGTGGGGGGCGGGGCAGCAGTCTCCCACTCAGCTGCCCCTTCTGCTGTCCCCTGCCCCCGGGGGTAGGCAGGCTGTCCCCGAGGAACAAATGGGGCCCTGGGAAGTCTCCTGCTGCCTACAGTACCGTGGAGCAGCTGAGACTCCCCATCAGGTACCAGCTTCCCGTTCACAGAGACATTTTTGCCCTGGATCAGCACCTCCTCGGGTCCCATCATTACTCGGGCCTTGCGGGGAGACGCAGAGTGGAAGAGGTGTTCAGCGGCTCGCCTCCTCCCCCTGTGCAGCTCCCTTCCTGTGTCCTTCCCCACCTCCCTTCCTCACCAGCTGACAGTGCCCAGGCTGGGGGCAGTGCCCCCTGGGCGTGAGGTGGACGGCCCAGGTGGCACCAGCGGCGCCCGCCAGCAGGTAACCACAGCGGCCCAGGAAGTGGTAGTGGCGCCCATCAAAGGTCCGGTAGTGGAAGCCCGCCCAGGTGGCACAGGTGGCCGAGGGCCGTTGGCGCTGGCTCCAGAACCGGGCCACGGCCCCTGCCAGGGGCTGCAGGAGGGCTGGAGAGGGAGTGCTGCCTGGAGGAGATACACCAACTGTGAGCCGAGTGTGAAGGCAGGAGGGTGGAGGGTGAGGCCGCGGGGCTTCCCCCAGAGCAGGAGGCAGGTGGAGAGTGAATGGTCCCTCTGGAGGCAGGAGGGGTGGGAGGTGACTCATCCGAGAGCGCACGGGAATGGGCATGGGCCCTGCAGGAAGGCCCAGAGCTCAAGGATTCTATGTGGCAGTGCCTGGGCAGGGGGAGAAAGTGATGGCCAGGGCTGCAGACCCACCTGCGAGGGGTCGGCTGGAGCAGCTGAGGCAGGCCTGGGGGCTGCCCCCCCGCCAGCTCTGTCCCCAGGGCCAAGCACAGCACTCCTCCAGGCTTCCTGCAGAAGCATTAGCTGAGCCTGCCTGCTGCTGGCACTGCTGAGTGGCAAAGCAGCGGCCCCCAGGGCTGGCTTCTGCAAGGGCTGTGGCGAGTGGAGGGAGAGAATGGGGCGACCCAGACAGTCAGCCTGGACCCAGCTTCTCTCCCCGGGGAAGCCTCCACGAAACCACAGATCTGGGCTAAGAGCAGGTGCTTACCCAGGGTGCAGTGGCTGCCCCCGCAGCCTGGACAGCAAGCCCTCGCTGTCCGGTTCCTTGCAGCGAGCCGGGTTTCTGGGGGCCTGGGTCCACCGAAAGGGCAGCAGAGGGAAGATGTTAGTGTTCAGCCCAGCCCCGTCCCTGTCCCTGAGAATGGCCTGGGACATTCAATCTGGTCATCTATTCTCTGAGTGACTCTCTCATGTAATTTCCCTTCCAGTTCTTTTTTTTTTTTAATATATTTTTGGTGTTTTTTTTTTTTTTTAAGATTTTATTTATTTGTCGGAGAGAGCACAAGCAGGGGGAGCGGAAGGCAGAGGGAGAAGCAGGCTCCCCACTGAGCAGGGAGCCCGACGCAGGACTCGATTCCAGGACCCTGGGATCATGACCTGAGCCGAAAGTAGACGCTTAAACGACTGAGCCACCCAGGCGTCCCATCTCTTCCAGGTCTTAATTTCCCCTTGTGCAAAGTGAGAATGATGTTGGGAAGGCAGATTGGAGGGGAGGCACAGGGAGCAGACATCGTACCTCTCCCCGTACTGCCTGCTCCCTGTGCCGCCTGTCCCCAACCCCACACCCCTGACTCTTCTTGAACCCAGCCAGACCTACTTCCCAAACGCCTGCTTCTCCAGGACACCACCCAGTTCACCTTCCCCCCAGAATGTTGGCTCCATTGCTCTCTCCTGCTCAGCAGCTACCCCAGGCGCCGACCCTCACTCACTTGTAGATGGGACAGAGCCCAGCACGTCCACTCCAGGACAGGTCCAGCTGCCAGCCCAGGCGCTGGTAATAGTAGAGGCTGGTGCAGGGCACCAGGGCCTCCTGGTGGGGGACAACTTCCTCCTCCACCAGGAAGGTTTGCGTATGTTCACACCACCGCCTGCCCGCAGATGGGGAATGACAGCTACTGTCACCAGCCCCTCTATTGCCAAGAAGCCCTGTCCTGTGGTCCCACTCCCCAAAGAGCCCCTCCCAGGGAAGGGTTAGTGAACTGAAGAGGAGGCTGGTTGGGAGCAAGAAGCATAGGAGGGCGCCTGGCTGCCCCAGAGGGTCCTGTTCGTGAGGCGGGAGCAGAGGATCTTAGTCAGAGGGGCCCCAGGCTGGGCTGCTTACCCGTTAGCGAGTGCCCATGCCATCCCAAAGAGGAGGGCAGGAAGCAGCATGGTGCTCCCCGCCCAGGTCACCTTTGGGGGGCTGTGAGCCTTGGGTTTGGGGAAGGCACTGCTGCGGCAGGTGAGCCGAAAGGCCAGTGCTGGCCTCCCCCGCCCCACACTGCAGTCTCCAGCAGCCAGGCTTCAATGCGTCCAAGGCAGCCAGACAGCTAGAACGAGGCCCATGGGGCTGGGGAGGCTTTATCTCAGCCCCATGCCCCAGGGCACCAGCTGCTCCGAACCAGACTGGACCTGCCTGCACACGGCACAATCCCCTCAGAGGCCCGCTCTCCTGGAAACAGTCCCCTTCCTGCCCCTCGTGTGTGTGTGTGTGTGTGTGTGTGTGTGTGTGTGTGTGTGTGTGTGCGCGCACGCGCGCGCTTACTCCTGTCTGTGCGCTCAGCGGGGGGGTGCATGTGGTCCAGGCCACAGCCAGACACCCTGAGCCTCTGATATTTTTCCACCCTCAGGCTGTGCCATAAATTAAGGTGGACTCCGGACAAGGCACCTTCTCTTTGTGAGCCTCAATTTCCTTGCTAGTAAAAAATTTAGGGGCTTCCGGGATGCTTGGGGGTGACTCAGGGGCTCCACTTTGAAATTGTGTGTGTGCAGGGGTGCCTGGATCAATTGGTTAAGCGTCGGACTCTTGATTTCGGCTCAGGTCATGATCTCCGGGTGGTGGGATCAGGCCCTATGTTAGGGCTCCATATTCAGCGTGGAGTCTACTTAAGATTCTCTTTCTCTCCCTCTGCCCCTCCCTCCCCGCACCTGCTCTCTCTCTCTCAAATAAATAAATCTTAAAAAAAAAAAAAGAAATTGTGTGTACACATTTCCCTGAGGATAGTTCCATAACTGTTATTACATTCTCAAGAGGAACTAGGACCCCACAAAATGGTTAAGTTATTGTGCCAAATGACTGATATGGTCTTCTAGCCCTAAACTTCTGACTGTGATTCTCTCCCTGCTCCCTTTCCTGCCTCCTCCTGCCCCCTCTTGTAGGCAGTAGGCACTTGTGAAGCCAGGACCAGTGAGCAGAAGGAGCTGAGTTTCCAGGCTGGTTGAACTGTGGGAAGACAGTGGGAGAGCATGTGCCCTTTCCTCTGTGGTCCAACCTCTTACTGGGGGTGATTATGTGTGGCTGGCTGGGTCCATTCTGGTCTCCTTTTGAGAGAGTCTCCTAGGGTCCAGAACCAGGAAGCCTGGGGAGGGGAATAGAGCAAGCCTCGGGGAGGAGGGGCAAGGGTGGAAAGTGTGTGTGTTGGGGGTGGTGGTAGGAGACAAAGGGGCCTGGAAGGCAGCCTCCCCTAACCCTGGGGGCAAGGCAGCCGGATAGGATAGGATCATCTGAGTATCCGGTTGGGGCAGCAGGTGGCCCAGGTGAATCCTGGTTACATCTTGGTTACCAACTCCCAGGACACCCAGGCTGGAATGTGGCCTGGGCCTCAGATTCCATAAACCTCCATCCCCTAAATCTGCTCTCCCACTGAGCATCCCACATAGTTACCCCACCTCGGGCGAGGAAGCTGCTGGGAACCAGAGCCAATCTAGGCATTTCTCCTGGGCCCACCACTGGTCCTGTGGCCCAAAGAGGGTGCAGTGAGTCCCTCAGGGAGCTCTCAGGTGGGGTCCTCAGAAAAGGCCAGGGTTGGGCCATGAGCATGTTGCTGTTCCCAATCTCTCACACACGTACCCCATCCACTCTCCCCCTGTTGCTTCACATGCTCACACCCCCTCTGCAGGTCTCACAAGTGCTCATGCCCCACCCTAGCACAAAGAGACATCTACTCCGGGGGCCATGAGCCCATTGGGCACTGACTAGCTGAAGGAGCCCATCCAGGAGGTTGAAGACCCTTTCCCAGCTGATTCCGAGGTACCCCGTGCTCTCCCAGATACCACCCGCTCCCATGCCTCTCCTAAACGGCAAGGAATATTGATGGTGCCCCTGCTGTGAGCTGTGCCTCTCTTTGGAGGACTCCCTCCCAGCTCTGGATTTTAACTGCAGGTGATAAGGCAACACTTGGAATGGGGAGAAACCCAAGTCACAATGCCCCTTTCCCCTAAAGAGGGCAGGAGGGAGGAAGCTGGAAGCCAGGGGAGATTGGAGAAAGAGAGATGGGAGAGGGGGCCTGGAATAACCAGCCCACATTTCAGCTGGACAAGGACAGGATATAGGGAGCTTTCAGAAGGAGTCAGGTGCCTGGGTGGCAAGGCCGAAGAAAACCATCATAACCCGGGCGGGGACCCCAAGTCCCCCCAGAAACCGGATCTAAGGGCTGAGGGCATCCCTCCACACCTAACTGGTACAGGTTTCCAGGCCCGTAGGAGGACCAGCTCCCACCCCGCCCAGAGAACTCTCCCCTCCCAGCAGCCCCCTCCCCGGGACCCCGCCCTCTGAGTCTCCGCCCAGCCCGTCTCCAGCCTCACCCCCTGGAGCCTCCTCTCCAGCCCCGCCTTCTCCCTGGGGACCCGGCTCAAAGCCCCCCACCCCAATTTCTGTTTCAAAGAGCCCGTTCTCGGCGGGCACTGAGGCCCAGCTCGGTCTCCTTCGACCACCCCTCGCGGCCCCTAGTGACCCGACTCCCGCCGCGGGTGTCGAATCGGGTCCTCCGGAATCGGCCGGCGGTTGTGGGTCTGAGCGGATCCCGGTGGAATCGCGGTGGAGAGCAGGGGCGGGGGCGGGGTTTCCCAAATCGACCCCACAGACCGACAGTCGGGAGACTCGATCCCACCGCGACGAAGCGCCGCACAGATACGCTCCGGGGGGGAGTGGGGGGGGGGAACTCGCGATTCAAAGACAGCAACGCAGACACTCACTGGCTCTCCTCCTCCGAGCACGCCCCCTCCTCTTCCCCTCCCCAACTCCCCACCGCACCCCCTCCCCCCGCGCTCCACCTTTCCCCTGGCTCCTCCCTCGGCGCCTGCGAGCACCCTCCCGCGCAGCCCGCGTGCCCTTCCTCCCTGCCTCCTCTCCCTCCTTCACCCCTCCCCCAACACTCCTCCCTTCCCTTCCCCCTCTTCCCTCCCCCCCACCTCGTTCCTAGGCTCCCACTTTCCATCACCTACTCTGGGCCTCCGTCCCTCCACATCGTCACCTGCACGCCTAACCCCACCGTGCGCCCTCCTGCGACCCCACTCCAGCACCCTCCTGCCCCTACCTCCCCCACGGGGTGCCCCGCAGCTCCCCTCCCGCTTCCGCGCTCCCCTCCCCCCTGCCGGGCGCCGCTTCCCCGCTCCCGCTCCCTCCGCGTCTTTTCCTCTCCCCTCCCCGCGAAGTTTCGGGGCTGTCAGTCTGTCAGTCTTTCGGGCAGTCGGCACCCGAGCTACAGGCAGCGGGCGCCATTGCGAGCAGAACCGGCCGGGACAGAAGGCCGGGGCGCCTGGGTCCCGCCAGCAGCGGGGAGACCCGACCGGCCAGCCCGCCAGGTACGGGCCGTGGAGGCGCCCAGCGGCAGGCGGCTCCGCCCGCTTCCCCTTCTACACCGACACTCAGTCACTGCCCGCTCCGCGCAGGTGACAGCCCCGGGGGTGGGGGCGCTGGGAGCGCTGGAGGGGGTGGGGTGGGGTT